ACACACTCTTAGGTTCCTCTCCTTTACTGATAATACAAGACTACACGAGTAGTTTGCATTAATTTCCTAACGTTGCCACAACAAATGCTGAAAATGACAGAAATTTATTTTCTCACAGCCCTGGTAGCTCGAAGACCAAAGTCAAGGTGTTGGCGGGGCTGGCTCCTTGCGGTAGGCTTTAGGGAAGAATTTGATCGTTCCCTGCCTCTCAGCTTCCAGTGGTTGTCCATGATCCTTGGGGACCTTGGCTGTAGGTACATGACTACAATGGCCATCTTTTCTGCATCTCTGTGCCCTCACATAGTGTTCTCTGTGTATGTGTCTCTTCTTGTAAGGATACCAGTCGTGTTGGAGTAAGAGTCCAGCCTACAACAGTATGACCTCCCGTTAATTGACCGCATCTGCAACAATCTTATTCCAGATAAGGTCACATTCTGAGGTTTGGGGAAGGATATGAGTGTTGGGGGGACGATATTTAACCCAACTGAACTACCAAGCAGCCTATATTGGTGTCTCCCCGTTTAGCAGATTCATGTATATATGGTTAGAAAAGTTTATATAGGGGCACCTGGGTGGCTCAGTCCGATAAGCATCCAACTTTGGCCCAGGTCATGATCTCTGAGGTCATGAGTTGGAGTCCGGCCTCAGGCTGTCGGCTGTTAGCGTGGAGTCCACTTTGGATCCTCTGTCTCCCTTTGTCTGCCTCTCCCCTGTTCGTCCTATCTCTGTCTCTCCTCTCTCTCTCTCTCTCTCTCAAAAATAAACATTAAGAAAAAAGAAAAAAGTTTACATAATAGGTTAACTGCATGCAAACTTTTCTTGGCACAAAACATTCACGTTTATTTTACATCGAATCAATCTATTTGTAGGATAAATAAAATCAAAGTGAATTTAACAATAACAGTGCCTACAAAGTAAACAGTAAAATTATGACTTAGTAGTTCCTTGGTTAGTTTGATCAGTGTAAACATAGGCCAAAAAATGTCAGCCCAACATGTACCATTTGGGGCCTGTTTTAAAGGCCAAAGACTATGGTGGCACCTGGGAGTCTCAGTCGGTTAGGCGTCGAACTCTTGCACTGACAGCTAGGGGCCTGCTTGGGATTCTCTCTCTCTCCCTCTCTCTCTCTGCC